AGTACTAGTACTCACAACACCTGAACTGATACTGTCGGTATCGGTGTTCCAAGTACTAGTACTCACAACACCTGAACTGATACTGTCGGTATCGATGCATCTTTAGTGTCTGTTCTTTTACCAGAACGTTTTGTCTGTATGTTTTTTTATTTTTAAGATTTGTTTAGTGAACATATATCCACATTTATTAAAAGTACTTCTGTTTGAACTTCCTACTTTTTGTGCTAAAACTTAGTAAAATAAAACTACCATTCCTTAAACTTAACGTTTTTATTAGTAGGATGGACATAAGAAGAATTTATGAAGTGCACCTGTCGACCTTTGATCAGAACTGAAGAAGCTTTAGACGACAGCTAAATGTTTTTTATTTATCTCTTGGTTCTCAGAGTTTCTGATGGGGATGACTCTCAGCTACTACCACACTGAATGTCTGTATCTGTGAATGTGGCCGAGTTCAAGCCTTTTTGTGTTGGCTAAGACGGATTAGCTGTGGCGGCCATCTTCAATTGATTGGCTCCAGTTTTTCAGATTTTTGTCTTGAAACACATCCAGTGATTGATGAGATGTTTTGCTAACACACATACAGACAGTGGCTGTTATGTGATGGCATCCTGGCGGTGGGTGATAACTCCATAACGTTTTATGAAACTGATGTTCATCCAGAGGTTTAAGTTCAGTCCTGCACGTTCCATGAAAATCAGCAGAATCAAAGGATTCGACCCGACATCTTTGTGAGCAGCTCCTCCACGGCAGGACTCAACCATGAAGGCTGTCATGAAACATCTGGAAGTGTCTGTCTCTGCAGAAGTGTGTCCTGTACTGGCCGGAGAAGAGGGGCATCTACGGTGACGTGGAGGTGTTGGTGGACGGCGTCAGAGAGGGGGAACACTTCACGACCCGCAGCCTCACGCTGAAGGTACGAGCCACGTCCTCAGGCAGAGCAGTCTGCGAGCTTCACAGCTAAACGTCTGCTTTGTGTCCGAGCAGTGTGGGAATCAAACCCGCACGCTGCAGCACTACTGGTACACATCGTGGCCCGACCACAAAACCCCCGACTCCGCGCTGCCGCTGCTGCAGCTCATGGCCGACGTCGAGGCGGACAGGCGGGCTGCCGACCATGTGGGACCGGTTATAGTCCACTGCAGGTACCGACTGAGGAGCTCCTCCTCCTGACATGTCTGAAAGGACTCCATTACCCATGATCCTTTGCTCTGCAGCGCTGGGATCGGCCGGACAGGCTGCTTCATCGCCGTGACGATAGGCTGTCGGCAGCTGCAGGTAGAGGGGGTGGTGGACGTCCTGAGCATCACCTGCCAGCTCCGGACCGACAGGTACAACGCTGAAAACTTTTCACTAATGAAGAGTCAGAAGCTCATGAGCCTAAAAAACATTTAGACTCTTTGTTTCTTAGATCTTCTTTAAACCTTTAATCTGTTGTTGGTGTTGGTGTTTTTATACGGCACTTCTTAGTTTTGTGTTTTTGTTTGTGGTTGCATCATGTTTTTATGGCTTTTGTCTTCTTTATGTTTAATTGTTTGTGTTGTGACCTAAATGTTGTTTATTGCCTTAAACAAGTTGTTTTTACACAACACCCAGTTTCAGCTGTGGTTTGTTTTTGTGAACAGGTTTAATTCTTTCAGATCATTTTGTGTCTTTTTGTCGTGTTCAGGCTCTGAGTGCATGTTTTTGTTTGTTTACTTTTAACTTTGTTTACTCACAAACATTTAGCTTCTGTCAGAATCTTTGGGTTTTTTCTCGCCCTCGGTTCTGGTAAACCAACGTCTGGGGGAGAAACTTCACCTTGAAAGTCTTTTGTGGTTCTTTTAGTCCAGACTGAAGAACATTTAAATCTGCTCGTTTCTCTTTAGGAACAAAAGAAGCATCTAAAACTCACAGAGAACTAGTTTTTAATTTGTTCAATAGAAACGCGAACGGTTCAAAGTTGTGGTTAATCCGGGACACGGTCAGTTTCTGATGGTTTTACAACGTCGTCGTTTCTTCCTCTGTAACCAGCGTTGTGTACGGTTCTTCTTGTGCAGAGGTGGAATGATCCAGACAGGTGAGCAGTACGAGTTCGTCCATCACGCCTTGAACCTGTTCGAGGCCCGCCCCCAGCAGAAACCGGCCAATGAGCATTCACCGCTCCAGGAAGTAGGAAGTTAACCTCAGCAGGTATGAGCTCAGCTTTGGGAGTTCGTTTGGACCTGGAGATTCTGGACCAGGTCTTTGAGTCTGATGGACAACAAATCAGCTGACTGAAGTGGGCGGAGCCTGTTGAAGGGTGGGGACAGGTAAATGTCTGAAAGTGGAATGTTCTCCTTCACATTTTGGATGAAGCTCCACGGACTGCTTCTGGTACGTGTTTTTATGAACCCTGGACTCGTGTCAACACTTTGACTCGAACTGAAGCGACTTTGTTCAGAAACCGTCTTCACGGGATTTAACCGTTTCTGTAACGTGGCGTTCTTTTCAGACGGCTGTTTAAAGATGACTGTTAGCTAGTTCCACCTCTGGGTTAGCTGCTGTTAATCCCGTTGGACTCTGCGGCACTAAACTCCTAAATGTACTTAACTTACCAACGCTTCAAACGAGAAAACAGAATCACATTCTTTAAAGAAATAAATTATAAAACACAACTTAAATTTCTCACGTGTGACTCGACCCGCTTTGAAAACTCACGATGCGATACGCAGCCAACAATATTATCACGATACTGTGAAGTTGTAACAAGTGATGAATGTCCCAACACTGCTAATGTCACAGTTCAGGGATTTTTATGATTCGTAACGTGAAAGAATAAAAATGACAGAATAGTTTTATAACAAACTGCCAGCGATACGATATTATCACGATACATTGCTCTTGTATTGCCTGACAGAGCTGTGATTTGTGAGTTCTGATAATTTGACCGAGAATTAAAATAAGTTTTTTTTTTAAATAAATGTTTTTACCGAGCGCCCTGTCTACCAACCCCCCTCCAACAGTTCTGCTCGGTCCGGACGGGAGCGGAGGTTGTAGCCACAATACACAAGCTGCTACCACCTAGCATTGGTAAAGTAGCATTTCGCTAAACCGCCAATTTGTTAAAGATTAATAAATAATTTGTTAAGGATTAATAAATAATTTATTAAAGATTAATAAATTGACGTCACAACAGAACTTTTAATGATTATATTTCCAGACTCTGTGGTTGTTTCTTTAAGCACAGAGTCCATGAGTGCCCGCTTCGCCCTTTAAGACCATCATCGTTAGTGGGTCAAAGATGAAGAGGATCCGGTCTGTGGCTCACTGGGTCCGTTCAGAACCACCATCACACGATCTGCCCCCCCCCGAGAACAGTGTGTGATTGAGCAGCGCTCTGAGAGTCTCATGATGGTCCGGTCCAAACTCGTGATGGTCCGGTCCAAACTCGTGATG